GAGGAGGCCAGCGGCAAGTTCGCCGGTGCCATGCAAGTGTTGGGTTACTGTCCCGAGCTGTCCTACAACATGGCGCTGTGCTGCTACGCCGCCAAGCAGTATGCCCCTGCCCTCAAGCACATCTCCGATATCATAGAGCGCGGCATCCACCAGCACCCGGAGCTCAGCGTGGGGATGACCACTGAGGGCATTGATGTCCGCAGCGTGGGCAACACTCTGCTCCTGCACCGGACGGCCCTGGTGGAGGCCTTCAACCTCAAGGCAGCTATTGAGTACCAGCTGCACAACCTGAAAGCGGCCCAGGAGGCGCTCACAGATATGCCGCCGAGAGCTGAAGAGGAGTTGGATCCAGTCACGCTGCACAACCAAGCACTGATGAACATGGACAGCCAGCCCACCGAAGGGTTTGAGAAACTGCAGTTTCTTCTGCTGCAGAACCCCTGTCCGCCAGAAACGTTCGGAAACTTGCTACTCCTCTATTGCAAGCATCAGTACTATGACCTGGCGGCTGATGTGCTGGCAGAGAATGCCCATCTAACCTACAAACTGCTCACACCTTACTTGTACAACTTCCTGGATGCCATTATTACTTGTCAAACTGCCCCTGAGGAGGCTTTCCATAAGCTAGATGATGCAGCGGGGACGCTGACTGAGCAGCTGAGAAAACTCACGAAGCAGGTACAGGAAGCTAGGCAAAATTGGGATGATGAAGCTGTAAAAAAGGCAGTTAATGAGTATGATGAGACCCTGGCTAAATATGTACCTGTCTTGATGGCCCAGGCAAAAATCTACTGGGACATGAAGAACTACACAATGGTAGAAAAGATTTTCCGCAAATCAGTGGAGTTCTGTAACGAACACGAGGTGTGGAAGCTCAATGTGGCTCACGTGCTCTTCATGCAGGACAGCAAGTATAAAGAGGCTATTAGCTTCTACGAGCCGATAGTTAAAAAGCACTATGACAACATTCTCCAAGTCAGTGCCATTGTGTTAGCTAACCTCTGTGTTGCCTACATCCTGACAAGCCAGAATGAGGACGCAGAGGAACTGATGAGGAAGATCGAGAAGGAAGAAGAGCAGCTGTCCTACGATAATCCTGATAAAAATATCTACCACCTCTGCATTGTCAATCTAGTCATTGGTACCCTCTACTGTGTGAAGGGAAACTACGAGTTTGGGATTTCAAGGGTCATTAAAAGCCTGGAGCCATATAACAAAAAACTGAGCACTGACACGTGGTATTATGCCAAACGGTGTTTCCTGTCCTTGCTGGAGAACATGTCCAAGCACATGATCATGCTACAAGACAGCATTATTCAGGAGTGCATTCAGTTTCTGAAGCAATGTGAGCTGTATGGAAGAAACATCCCAGCTGTCATTGAGCAGCCCCTTGAAGAGAAGAGGATGCACAGTGGGAAAAACACAGTTACCTATGAAGCCAGGCTTTTGAGGGCGCTGATGTACAAGATCATTGGGTGGACTGCGTAAATGATGTCCCTGTACAGCAGAAATAAGACCTTTGTGACTGTTCTTTTCTTACGCTTGTGAGGTGACGCTCACCCTGATAGTCCATAGTGGTACTGGTTTTTCTTGGTTGCTTACCTTTAAAGATTTTGTCCTGTATTTTAACAACATTCAGTGGAAAATAGAATGTTTGCGTGAAATTAACATGCACCAAATAACTAGGGACATTCTCAGTAATCTGTCATGTTAATACACCTTAAGATGTGTTGACTGAGGACTTTGTTACAGAAATATCATGGTTTTCACCTATAAAATAGTTTATCCTTGTGAAATGTTGACCAAGTTTCTTTTCAATGGTTGACAGTTGAAAATAATTTGTTACCTATCTCTTCTAGCAAAGAGGTTGAAGAAACAGAGTTGTTCTAGTTCTCTAATTCATGCCTGTGTGTGAAATGTTTCTTTCTCTGCTTTTTCCAAGGTATTTTTAATATGATACAGACCGTGTTGATGCAGTATTCAAACACAAAAAATGGCTTTATACTAAAAAATCAGCCCTACAAACATTAACATTGCCTTTTGCTAACTCCGTAGCAATGCACAAGTGTTCTGACAAGTTGTATACCTAATACAGGGACCAGGAATATATTCCAAGAAGGATATATTAGGACAATACCTCAGTTTAGAGCTACCCGTGCAGTAAAGTTCGTTATGAGTGGACATAACTGGCTTCAGAGACACTGCCCAGTGGTGCCCCTCGGCTTCTGCGACCCTGTCCCTGTGCCTGCCCCGTCCCTGTGCCTGCCCCATCCCTGTGCCTGCGCCATCTGGGCAGCAGCTGGTGCCCTGCAGACTTGCTTGGTAGTCAAATGACGTGGTCCTCCATTTGCAGCCTGGCCTGCCCCTTTAATCCAGCTACCAGTCTGAGAATATACCAGTCTCTGGTAAGAGACCTGGTGAATGTGAAACTATTTGATTTTCCATATCTCTTAAAAAGCACGTCACTTCCATTTCATGCGAGGCTTACGACATCTACCCTTGGAAGAAATCTGCTTCTCAGTTTCTTCCTTGTGTTACTGTTCCTGCATCTCTTAACACCTCTCTGAAACCCTGTTTATTTGCTTAATTTCTTTACTTAGCATGTCCGTTGCGCTGGCATCAAACAGTGTATTTTCTCAACAGTCTTCCCATACTTTTTGAACCATATTATGTGTTCCACAGCAAAGTGAGCCCAAAATGCCTTTCATGCTTTTATGCAGTCTGGTTCTGTGCCCCATGGCTGCTCTGCTTTTTGTGTATTCTGCCTTCTGAAGCAATGTGTGACCTGAAGTTTTTAAATAAGGATCAAAGATCCATGGCTTTGACTCATTTGCTTACCTTTGATGCTGGCTCTCTGAAGAGCTGTCATGGGGGAATCTGGAATCAGGCTGCATGTCCCCCAAAATCCAGTTTCTATGCTGTGGTTTACCTGGAAAGAAAGAGGACACCATTTTTGAAAGTCATTCTATTATAAAGCAATAGAGTACTTAATCCTTCCAGGGAGTTAGTGTATCTAGGGACTGGACGGGCCTGCAACCATTCTGACATACAGAAAGTCAACTCTGCTTATCTGCTGGGATAGAAACCTGTCAGGGCTGAGCACATCCTCTGTAGCTAAAGGAGATGGCTGTGGGTTAGGTAATGCGACGGTTTACCCGAAACTTCCTGTAACAGTAAAGTAAAATCAAATTTAACAGCGCCAAGAATGGGAAAATGTTCTAGGGAGGCTAGCGAGCAGGCAGGAGATGGGGCAAGGTGTCCTAGAGAGCCCTCCATAGCTCGTTACTATGATATTAAATATTTGCCACAAGTGCTTCCCCACGAGGAAGAGGCTCGTGATTTCAAATCTTGTTCACCTCCATGAAGCACAGCAGCAGGCTGCAAAGTGTGTTTCTAATTTACAGTGGAATTGTATTATATATTGTGCAGCATAAATAGCATGACCTTTAAAAAAAAGTTTTTAAGAGTCACACCACATAGTGGCGTCTGAAGTGCAGGAATGGGCAATGACTTGGGGAACATCAGCCCTTTATTTAATATTTGTTGTGTGTATTCTGTAAAAGTCAGTGGCCGTTTAAAAAAAAAGAAAATCACTTTGCAGATTTGTGCCTGTGCAAATGTTGAATGCCTACTAACGGAGAGCAGTTTGGAGACCTTTCTGTGGCTGACCGGTCGGTGATGTTCACGTGCTCGAGCAGTTTCTGTACAACCGGAGCGTGACCTTCGTCAGGTGCTGCAGCCCGGATTAGCTGCACTAAGCACGTTATCTCTTCCTCGCTTTCCATAGCCACAGAGGGGTCCGCTGCAATTCGGCAGAGGTGACGGGGCCGGCTGGCTCTGGCACGAGCTTGCCAGTCCTGCCAGCCTACAGGTCAGGCACAGGGCCCTTGGGCACAGGGTGGGAAGGGAGAACAGCCACGCTGTCCATGGAAAAAAAAATCCTCCTAACAGGGCATGGAGTTTTGCAAGATGTGGCTGTTTTAGAAGATAACAGCTAGAGGGCAGTCAGCATGTCTGGAATTTGCTTCGTCCTGTTGCAACAGATCAAACGTACGAAAAGCCGCTGGAGAACCCTGGGGAAATGTCAATATCAGCGTTTTCCCCTGTTCTTCCCTTTTCCTTTTCTGTTTTTTCTGCTTTTCCTCCCAGAGTACGCTGCACACCCAGACAACCCAAGGTTTCTGAGCAGGTTGGGTGATACTGAACACAATGACCCCATCATGGAGAGGCCTCTGCTGCTGCAAGGAGAGGGGGAAGCGGCAGAGCTGAGACACAACAGGAGAAGACCTGAGTCAGCCGTTGCCTTCTCAGCTTCATCAATGGATGCCCTGCTTCTGTGCGGGGCCCCCACCATCCCAGCAGTATTTTCCACCCTGTACATCGCAGCCTCTTCCTCAGCAACAGCCACCCAACCTTCCCGTGGCCGCGGGTCCTGGGGTCATGCGGCTGTCGTCTTTGCAGTGTGAGTGTGGTGCTTCCTCCAGTGGCAAGCGTGCATTTATAGCATCTCACCTGCAAAGCACTTTGGTCATGAAAAATGTATAAATGTTACAACCAGTTTTATTGCAATCTTTATACCGCATTTAACATTATCACTATGTGACTTACACACAAATACATATTTAAAGGAAAGCATGTACATTTTTATCTGGAGAAAAGGGAGGACACCAACTAATGGTTTATACTCCTTAGAAATATAGTAAAATCCACTTAAATTAATGGCCTAAACCAGCAGAGCTCTTCTTTTGTCCACAACCAAAAATCACTGTTTTCATTTAAAAGAATGCAAAAAGAAAACACTGCTAAGAAACAGCTGACCACATTCCCAGGGAGCTGCGGAGGGCAAACAGCTGCAGATAGGCACGGATTCCTAAGCAAGAGCCTCTGCTTTTTTCGGTGGGAGCAAGGAGAAAGAAGCCTTCAGCTCTCTGTCGCTGCATCAGCATCCAAAAGATGAGCAGTGCAAGATGCCTCCCACGCACACCACCACCGTACCGAGGCCAATTGTCAGGATTTTAATGGAACTAATAGACTCTTTTGCACCTTATCCTTCCAGTGCCTCTTGTGAGATGTTCTTGTCCTCAAACCTTACAAGGGCTCACCACCCATGTTGCAGGTGACAGGCTGTATGGTACTGCAGCAGGCAGCCTGGGGTTTTTTCCCAGTTACCCTCGCAGTAATGACAGCGCACATCGCACGAGCAAAGGCCCCGAACTGCCGTTCGGGCGGCGGCCCGCCTGCACTGGCGGGCAGAGCAGGGCAGGCAGGAAGGGCCTGAGATGTGATTTACTTTGTGCCCCACCTTGAATTCCCTTGGCACTCAACTCTCTGTAGTTAATCAAATGTCTGCTGACATCGCCAGCAGAGCAGAGGTAGTGGATGCCAGGGATGCTTGCGATCAGCTCCATAGTCAGAGCTGATCAAAAAATTCCAGTAATCAAGGGGTGGCTGACTTGATGGTAAGGCAAATAAAAAAGATGAGACAAAAGTCATTGTACAATTCTGGGAAGAGCATGATTACAGTCTTCCTTGGAGAAGTTGGAGGTGCTTCTACTAGGTAAGCAAGACCCATTACAAGATGGACAAAGAGAGGAATGTTAATTTCTCTGAAAATGGTGAAGTTACTTACAAGAATAAAAGCTGATTTGAGCAGCCTGTTCCACAATATCTTACTTACAACGTCCTATTTTAAATGCCTGAGTTCAAAACTTCCACATATCCACATCGGCTTCAGCCTCCAGCAAAGGCATCAGAGCCTGGCCCTGACTGATGGTTTGCAGATTTGAGGCACTGATGCGATAACATGGCTGTGTGGGCTGAAAGATAAGCACTGAAAGATCCATTTTCTCCTCTCCTCCAGGATTCTCCTCCTTTATCTCCCTTTGACCTTTCAGCAAATACAACTTTCTCTACATTTTGGCCTCTGTTCAATCCTGCTGTCTTCTTAAGGCATGAGTATGCCTGGGACAACACACATCATCTTCACATCATGATGTGTATGTAGTTCATACAGAAAAAAGTTAAACACGTGAATGCCATCTGATTTACCAAGAACTAGCCCACAAAACAGATTTCCTGCAAAAACATCTTGTAGTGCAAAGCGCTGAGAGAGGATGGTAAAACACCAGCTTCTTTCACAAGCACAGCGAGGGGCATCTCTGGGCTTTCCTTGTGCTTCCACCACATTTAAATGGCAGCCTCCGGTAGAGGAGGCTGCAGCGAGGTGCAGCTGGTGCCCGCTGAAGCTCTGACACGCTGAGCCCGGGCACGCAGCGCTGATGCTCATGTGTGGTGTGCACCTTTGTCCGTGCCTGCCCCAGGTGCCACCTCGGCTTTCATGAACCAAAAGCTGGCCTTTCCGAAAAGGCACACGTGGCTCTGTCACTCTGCGCTGGTGTGGTGGGGAAATGGACAATGAAAGGCAGCAGCGGCAGAAATGAACCTGGCTGGTGTCCTAGGGGGTGGCGGGGAGGATTTATACAAGCGTGGAAATGGGGAAAAGTGAGTTAGTGTTAAAATCCTCCCAGCTTCAATCAATTTGCTGCTGATCACATAAGTGTGATCATAAGGGTGCACACACTCTGGGAGGCACTGCGGAAAAATAGCGAGACTTAACTGAAAGGAAAAAAGCTGTT